ATACATTATTATAATATTTAATGTTATATATTTTCCTGTTATGTTGCAAATTACATATTTTATGCTGATTAATAAATGACATTTTATTTCACAACTCTCTAAACATCTACATGTCTTCATTATCATGAAGAGACTATGCAGCGAAATACAATTATGAATTAAACGAACTTACCTTAAGTGAAGTTTCATTCTAATTGTATGAGCTGCATACTCTCGAATGATAATACTCCCCCCCAACCCTGATCTCATAAAATTTCACCCAGTAAATTACTTGTTGTGAACTTAGATTAAAACAAAAAGGGTAGATAAGGCACTAGCCTCACAAAAGTGATCCGCATGAATTGTGGTCCACGACCCTAATCGCTTTAGTCACAACTTGACATGCAAACGACGTACATGTGAACGCCAAAAAGAAAATATTGCTAATATTTTGTGTTTATATGATAAAACAATGCCTAAGTACACTTAGGCTTTAGGCTTTTTAAAAAGTGCTCAAATTGCTCAAGAACTAAATATAAAACCCACGGCATCACTTTTCATTCGTAAGTACTATAAAATATATTATTTCATAAAAATTGCTGTTTGTTTTGAATCTTATTCGGTAGTAACGCCGAGTACTGGTCGCGTGATTGGTCGGTAGTGCAGTGACGTGGATCTTGCCGTCTCGTTCGCGCTGCCGTTGAAACTTAACGTGCTGTTTCGTTCGGCTCGGTAATGCAGTGACGCGGATCTCGCCGTCCCGTTCGCGCTGCCGTGGGATCAGTTTTTATTTGATGCAAGTATGAGCGTACGGAATCTACCCTTTTTGTTTTAATCTAAGGTTGTGACTTGGTTATGCTTATTGGGGGCTAAGGATAGTTTGTATAGGTTATAGGGCTCTATCGCTACTATAGGAAACTTAAACACTATAACTAACTTATTTTCCATATAATATGATCCCGGCTTAATTATATTATAATATTCCCGTAATTCTATATCTAATATTCTTTCCTTCCCGTAAATAACCCTAAGCTTACCTAACATATTTTTTAACACGACTGTACTTAACATGGTATGATGCATGCTGTTTGCATGGATAAAAGCTAATATATTTTCTAATCTAGATAATTCTTTTGCGAAATCTTCTAAATTTTCACCTATTATTGCTAGGATTTGGCCAAACTTAGCAAATTTAACAAGACTGTAATTTTTAAATGATTCCTTATCTAAAAGTGTCTGTAAAACTAACTTCATCTTTTCTTGGTTATCGACTAACTTTGACATTGTACTACTACGTTGCGTCATCCAGTCTTTAGATAAACTGACGTGATGGTTTAATTCTGTAACAATTTTGTCCTGATTATCTTGTAAGATTTTTATCCAATTATTATATTTTATTGCGTCTGAATGATCGAGGTTTCCCGTAATCCCTTTTATTACTGAACCTAACCCATCTATTAACCCTCGTTTTGCGCGACTGGGTTCCAAACTTCTCAAGTGTTCTAAAATATTATCTAATTTCTCTGATAAATAGGTAGCCTGTAGCTCGTATAATACATATGTATCGTTCGGAACTTTACTACTAAATTCGTCTAACTGCGATTTTATGGTGTTAATTTTACTATGTATATCATCTAAAGTAATGTATTGTATAAAGGTGTGATAGTGGGTAATAAGTCTAGTCGGTCCTAGTTTGAAAAGGAGAAGTCCTGGTCCATCGTCAAGGCTTTCAAGTCTTATCTGCTGCATCGCCTCCACTAGCCGGATCGTCATTATCACCCATGCCCTGTAACAAGTTGGATGATTTTGGTGCCCGCTTTAAACGCGACTTGGCTATGGGTCCACGTTTTTTGGACGTGTAAATGTGTATGGGAAGGTCAGCTAGCACTTTGTCTTGATTGTACCTAGGCGCTAACTTTTGTCGGGGACGAACGGGTTTTTTTATGAAAACCTGTTGTTCGGGTGAATATTCCTGTATGTCTTCCCTATCCTTATTCCTATTTTCTATCAAGTTAGTGCGATTATGAAGTGAGGATTCATTTATTATTTTATAAACTTCTTTCATCTGGCTCCTATGGGATTCTACATATTGTTGCAGAAGATGCTTAGTTAGGTCAATGCATACGGGATCGCGAGGGTCAAAGTGACCTTTTATTATGTCGTACGGTCTGCACCTTGTGAAACTATGTACAGAATTATTATAACCAATTATAACGTAAGGTATTAAATTTATAGTGGGCTCGTCTTTTCGTTGGATGCGTAATAGTCTGAGGTGTTCTAATAGCGTGCTATGAAATCGTTCTACATTTCCGTTGTCATTGGGAGAGTGCGCAAGTATTTTATGGTGATTTATTGATATAATTATTAATTATTATCATGAACTGAGAGGAATTCGGAAAACATCTGATTGGTAAATTCCGGTCCATTGTCGCTTATTATGTTAAGGGGTAAACCATGGTGTGTATCATAATGTAAGAGTCCTTGAATTACACTGACCGCGGTGCCATCTCGAAGGTGGTAAGCCTGTCCGTATTTAGAAAACACGTCCATTATTGTAAGGTACTTTTCATTATCAATGGTAAGTAAATCAATATGTACGATCTCTAAGGGTTTCGTAGCTGGGGGAACTATATTGAATTTTTGTTTTATGGGTTTACGATCGTATTTTCCTTGACCATACACTGTACAATTATTTATAAATTTGGTAATATGTTCACGCATTTTAGGCCAGTAATATCTTTTGAACAAAGCTAAATAACTCTCATTGATTCCACGATGATTGGTTTTACCATCGTGGTAATTTTGAATAATTTCTTGTTGCCTCAAATAATCTTTGACGTTCTCTAACTCAGTCTTTACAAGTATAAGTTTCATGGCGGCACTACGAAATTTATCTTGAAGGATAGGTATAATTTGATACATAGCAAGGGGTGGATTTATGAGGAGACCTGTCTGTACTTTGGGGTTGACGTATTCTTTGACGCTATTGATGATGTCATTTTCTAAGTTAGTGTGTGATATTTGAACAGCAATGCGTGTGTGCGTGTCAAAAGGTTTTGATACTGCAGGGCGTCGTTTGACGTCATCCACAATTGTTAGCACTAGTTGGCGGTGAAATCGGTTCAGTGGTTTGTCGGTAATGGGTATTTCGAGGATTGAGTTCTCTTGACTGGTGTGCGCGGTTGCTGTGGTAGAACCCTGAGGGGATGGTGGCCTTTCAGATGGATTGGCTACCATTGAACTACAGTCCTCGTTGTGTATTTCAATACGAGATAATGCGTCAGCGTTAAGATTGTGTCTGCCCTTTTTATAAACAACGGTGAAATCGTATTCGCTGAGTTTAAGACGCCAGCGAGTTAATCTTGAATTGGGCTCTTTTATGTTAACTAACCATTGTAAGGGTTTGTGATCGGTGACGATCTTAAATTTACGACCAAACAGATAGGGCCTGAAATATTTGGTCGCCCATACAATTGCGAGAAGTTCCTTCTCTATTGTCGAGTAATTACACTCGCTGTCGTTCAGTGTCCTAGATGCGTAAGCTACAGGTTTGTCTATTCCTATGGTGCCTTGGGAAAGGACAGCCCCAATGGCAAAGTTTGAAGCGTCTGTGGTGAGTATAAAGTCTTTAGTAAAGTCGGGGTACTGTAATATCGGGTCGTTTGTCAAAAGAGTTTTGCACTGTTCGAAACATTTTACGTATTCGGGGGTTATAGTCAATTTTGCGCCTTTCTTTAGTCTAACTGTCAGTGGTTTTGTCACCTTTGCAAAATCAGGGATGAATCGGCGGTAATATCCTAGTAGCCCTAGAAAACTTTTAATTTCTTTAGTGGTTTTTGGAATGGGATATTTTTGGACAGCTGAGATTTTATCCGGGTTAGGTTTTATACCGTCTTTACTAATTATAAACCCTAAGTAGGGTGTCTCTAGTTTCAAGAATTCGGACTTGTCCATTTGGATTTTGAAGTTGGACTCGCGGAGTTTCTGAAATACCTTTTCAAGGTTGAGAATGTGTTCCTGAAGGGATGTACTGAAGACTATGATGTCATCCAAATACACAAGGCAGATGGAATTCTGTAAATCCTTAAGGACATTGTCTATGACGCGCTGGAAAGTGGAAGGGCTGTTTTTAAGACCCATGGGCATGCGTAGAAACTCATAGTGACCGTTTTCTACGTTAAATGCTGTTTTAGGGATCGAACCGTCAGCTGATTGCATCTCCACCTGGCCCTCTAGAGGTAGAGCGAGAGGGCTCTGTGTCCCGTGAGGAGTTTTTCCGAGCCATTGAGCACCTCCAGCAGGCATTGCTCACACAATTGGGCACCATGGTGTCGGCGCGCCTGGAAGGGCTCGAAGTGGATGGGCGGCTGTTGGAAGCAAAGAGCCACAGACCACCCCTTGCCTCCTCCAAGGCATCGGGCCGCGGCCAGGAGCGGCAGGCCCCAGCGGGGAACACCACCCTCGCCCCGCCGGTCAACCTCCCTAAAAAGGCCAGGGAGGTCAAAAGGACCAGGCCAGTACGGCCACCTATGGCGCCTCCGCTGCCCCCGTCGCAGCAGGCCCCCAAAGCGAAGGGCCCTAAGAAAAAGGAGGCGCCAGCACCTTCCACTTCGGGTGAAGCGGGAGGACCCGACCAGGACAATGAATGGGTCCTGGTCACCAAAGGCCGGAAGGGGAAGAAGGCCAAGAAGGCGGCCAAGCAGGCCTCAGCTCAAAAGGGGGCTGCTAAGAAAAAAAAGGCGCTGCGGGCCCCGAAGACGCTGGCCGTCGTACTGGCCCTGAAGCCCGAGGCAATACAGAAGGGCCTCACGTATGGTCAGGCTATCGCCCAGGCCAAAACCGCGGTGAGCTTCGCAGACCTGGGCATAGGCCTAGCGAAGTTCCGCACGGGCATCACGGGGGCTCGGATTATAGAGCTCCCGAAGGAAACCTCCCCGGAACAGGCCGACTCGCTGGCCAACAAGATCGGGGAGGCCCTGGGCGATACGGTCAAGGTAACCCGGCCGACCAAAACGGCCGAGGTCCGAGTCGTCGGAATCGACGACTCGATAAGCGCCGACGAGGTGTGTCAGGCGCTGGCGCAAGTAGGTGGTTGCCCTGCCTACCAGATAAAGGTGAGCAAGTTACATACGGGGGCTCGGGGGACTGGTGCGGCCTTTGCATCGGTCCCCGTGGAGGCAGCCAAGCGCCTGGAAAAGGCCAAAGAGGTAGCGATGGGCTGGAGCTCTGCCACAGTGCATCTCCTGGAGGCAAAGCCCATGCGTTGCTTCCGCTGTATGGGGACTGGACACCCCATACAGCGATGCCCCTCCGCAAACGACCGCAGCAAGCTGTGCTACCGCTGCGGCTCCGAGGGGCACCAGGCGTCGGGCTGCACAGCGACGCTAAAGTGCGCCGTCTGTGCGGAGGCCAAGCGGCCAGCGAATCATCGGATGGGGGGCCGGAATTGTAACCCCCCGCCCGCTAAGGCCCGCACAGAACGGGCCAACGCAGTACGGGACGCAAGAGCCGCACCGCCGGAGGAGCCCATGGATGCAACGCAATGCCCAGCAACACCATCGAGCTCCTCCAAATAAACGTTAACCACTCCAACGCGGCGCAAGATCTAATGCGCCAGTCAGCGGCGGAGTGGAACGTGGGGCTAGTGATTGTGGCGGAACCATATCCTATTCCGCCACAGTCGCCAGATTGGCTGGTGGACTCTATTGAGTCCGCCGCTATCTACCGTCTGCCGCGCAGCACGGCCCCCCCTCTGATTCTGAGAGAGAGGGGGCCGGGGTACGTCGCGGCCGCTTGGGGGGGAGTCGTGGTCGTGTCCACGTACTTCTCCCCCAACCGGAGCCGGGCGGACTTTGAATCGTTCCTGGCGGTACTGGAGGGAGTGGTCCGGCGGGCAGCGCCCCTCCCGGTCCTGTTAGCGGGTGACCTGAACGCCAAATCCACGGCATGGGGGTCATCCGCCACGAATTTAAAGGGTGGAGATCTGGAGTCTTGGGTTCTGTCCCTGGGGCTCCAGATCCTCAATGTGGGCACGGCCCCTACCTGTATCCGGTGGAACGGTACGTCGCGGGTCGACGTAACCTTCGCCGCCCCCTCCTTAGCCAGCCGCATATCGGGCTGGCGAGTTGAGGATGTGGAAACCCTTTCGGACCACCTGTATATCAGGTACAGGGTCTCCTCAACATCCCACGGGGCACGCACAAGTGGACGCTCCGCCGTGAGCGCATTCACTAGATATGCGCTCATGCAACTCTGCCCCGAACTGGTGGCGGAGTCGGCGATGGTGCGGGCGTGGGCAGAGGCGCCCCCCCACCTCGCCGGGGATGCTGATGGTATGGCGGACCTATTTGCGGACGACATGAAGGTCGTCTGCCAAGCCGCCATGCCGAGGGTGCGGGCCTGTCACAGGAGAGGGCAGGTATACTGGTGGATGCAGGAGATTACCGACCTCCGCTCCACCAGCCTGAGGGCCCGGCGCGCCTACCTCAGATGTCGGAGGCGCGCCTCCAGTACACCCGACGAGGAACTCGAATTCCGTCGGGTGTACAAGGAGGCCAAAAAGGCCGTCAGGGTGGCCATCGTAATGGCCAAAAGGGAGTCCTGAGAGAGCTTTATAGCTCTCCTCGACCAGGATCCCTGGGGGCGGCCGTATAAGGTGGTGAGGGGCAAATTTACGGGTGACGCCCCTCCCACCTCGGCAATGGACGAGAGTCTGCTGACCCGGGTGCTGGGGGCTCTCTTTCCCGTTCAGGGCCCGTTCGAGCCCCCCCGGATGCTGCCCCCCGATGGCCTGTCGGAGGTGCCGACCCTGCCCCCCCCTTCCGTTTCTGACGCTGAGTTCGAGGCGGTGAGGGACAGGATCAGGGCCAAAAGGACGGCACCAGGGCCCGATGGAGTCCCGCCGAAGGTCCTGGCCCTGGCGATTGGGCCACTAAAGGAGCGGTTCCGGGCGGTGCTCAATCTATGCATCGCCACGGGCCGCTTCCCGAGGAGATGGAAGGAGGGGCGGCTGGTCCTACTCAGGAAGGCCGGTCGCCCTGTGGACTCCCCCTCCGGCTACAGGCCCATAGTGGTGCTCGATGACGCCGGGAAGTTCTTGGAACGAATCCTGGCGGGGCGTATCATCGAGCATCTGGAGGGGCCGGGCCCGAATCTGGCGGAACACCAGTTCGGGTTCCGGCGAAACCGGTCCACGGTGGAAGGGGTGGCCCTATTGAAGGGGTGGACCGAATCGGCCACTCGGCGGGGAGAGACTGCTGTTGCGGTGTCGCTGGACATCCGCAACGCCTTCAACAGTCTCCCCCACGAGTGCATTATGGAGGCACTGCGTTTCCACTGGGTGCCTCCATACCTGCGAGGATACTATACCTCTACGAGGGGCCCGATGGAAGCGTGTGTTCTCAGGCCATGGCCGCAGGGGTACCCCAGGGGTCAGTGCTGGGTCCACTGCTCTGGAACCTGGGGTACAACTGGGTGCTGCGAGGCAGCCTCCTGCCCAACATGGAGGTTGTCTGCTTCGCTGACGACACGTTGGTCGCGGCGAAGGCAAAGTCGGTGGAGGAGGCGGTTCGCCTAGCGTCGGTCGGCACCTCGCTAACCGTCCGACGCATCCGCCTCCTGGGCCTGGATGTGGCCCTCGACAAAACGAGGGCCATGCTGTTTCACGGCCCACGCCGCAGCACCCAAACGGGGCTCCATATTCGGGTGGAGGGGGTCAATAAACCGGTCGAGGGAAGCCTGAAGTACCTCGGCCTGGTTCTGGACCCCCGATGGAGTTTCGAGGAGCACTTCAAGCTCCTCGCTCCACGGCTGTGCGCCGCTGCAGCCGCACTCGGCAGGGTCCTCCCAAACGTGAGGGGACCAGGAGATGCGTCCCGTCGACTGTATCACGGGGTGATACGGTCGATGGCACTTTATGGAGCTCCGGTTTGGGCTGAGTGCCTCAAACCCCGCACGGTGGCCTTGTTGCGACGACCGCAGAGGACCATCGCGACCCGGGGGCCAATCGCCTAACGGAAATGCTTTGGGAAACGCTAACGCTTACGATTTTATATTGTTATTTCTAGCTGCCTGAGGTTTTCGAATACCTCACGCTCATTTTTTTTAATATTGTTATTACCAATGCAAAAGAAAAAGAAAGAGCGCGAGGCATTTGAAAACCTCAGGTGGCTAGAAATAACAAAATAAAATCGTAAACGTTAGCGTTTCCCAAAGCATTTCCGTTAGGCGATTGGCCCCCCGGGCCGTGCGAGCGTATCGCACGGTCAGCCACGGCGCCGCCTGCGTACTCGCGGGTGCGACGCCGTGGGATCTCGATGCGCAGGTCCTGGCAGACGTGCATCGAGGTCGGGTTGAAGCCAGGGAGCGGGGTCAAAGACCTGTCCCAGCAGAGCTGCGGCAGGTCCGTTCCATCGCGCAGGCAGAGGCCTTGCGGCGATGGGATGAGGCACTCGCCCAAGTGAGCGCCGGCCACCGGACGATTGAGGCTATTCGTCCGGTGTTGGAGGAGTGGGTGGGTCGCCGGCGCGGCGGCCTCACGTTCCGCATGGTACAGATCTTGACCGGGCATGGTAGCTTCGGTCACTATCTGCACCGTGTCGCACGTCGGGAGGAAACGCCGCAATGTCATCATTGCGGTGCCCCGGACGACACGGCCGAGCACACCTTATTGGAGTGCCCGGCCTGGCGACACCAGCGCTGCGAGCTCATTGCGGCGCTACAGGGCGAAGAAGGGGGCGGTCGCCTCCTTCTGCGAGAACGTTATCTCGCAGAAGGAGGCGGCTGAGAGGGAGCGAGAGGATGATCCTCTGGCCACTCCCTCCCGCCAAAGGAGGACGGGTAGGAGAGGACGGCGGCGCGCCCTGGCTGCGCCCGTCCCATGACCCTACCCGGGGGTCCCTCGCTGACCGGCATGGCGCTGGCCGTGCCGGCCACCGACGGACCCCGTGATGGCAGCCCCCCCTTGTAGTTCTGTCCTGCAAAGAGGGGGGCAGCGGAGGGAGCTACACGGGCACGCCCAAGTAGCCCGCCGCAGCGGACGGGGGGCGGTACGGTGGGCACAAGGCCGCGTACTCAGCCCCCACGCGCGGGCCTACCCGCGCACGTCTGCGGGGTCCCCGTGATACCCCGGGAGACCCCTGCCGTGGAGCCCCGGCTAGACCGGGAGGCTGCTAGGTGCGGAGACGCGGAAGAATCCCTAAAAGGGGAACCCGCAGCTCCGTGCTAAGCAGCTTAGAGGGTATTCGCAGGACTTTTTTAGCGGATATTATACCGTAAAGCGCCCGTAAGAGTTGCGAGGTCCTTGGTGGGCAGCCACTGGGGGGTTCGTAAGACTTGCGGGAGCCAGGTGTGAGGTCCGTTCGGCGGTGTGCCTCTTAAAGGCGCCGTCGTCTGTAAATAGATTTTTTACCTGCGTATTAAAAAAAAAATGGTATGCAGTCAACGCGCACTGAACATTTGTACATTTACGCAATTCATATAGGGCGTACGTGAAACTGCTAAGTTTACTAACAACTGTACTCACGTGAGGTTACCAAGACAAGGTGGAATCCATGGTAATGCCTAGTGTCACAAATGTATCGACTACTTCTATTTCATTACGTTCAAATGTAACATTGAGGGGTGCAGTACTGATCTCTGGCGCGGTCTAAATTGCATTATTTTAGTTTTTTTCCAAATTCAGTTCTAAACCTATTTCCCGCAGATGTATGGCTATTTTATTTATTGATGATGTTATTTCATCGCGTAATGTATTTATGTCATTGTAATCGCCAGATATTATAAGAGTAGCATCGTCAGCAAATTGTACGACTTTGTGTGGTGTGGCACGTGACAGGTCATTTATATACGCCAAAAACATCAAACACCCTAGCACACTGCCTTGAGGTATCGATCCTGAAAGTGTATAGATTTCTGAATTAATATTTTCCAAAATACCCTTATTTGAGTGTGCAATTTGTACGAAATGCTTTCTGTCTTTTAAGTAAGACGCTAACCACTTAACTGCATTACCACGAACACCTAGTTGTTCTAACTTTTTTAAAAGTAACTCATGCAGAACACGGTCGTATGCCCTCGAAATATCCATGAATACTACCACAGCACACTTATTTTCGTTTAGTGCATTCAGAATCTCAAAGCTACAGTCGAGCACCGCTGATGTCGTAGAGTGTTTCTCTCTAAAACCATGCTGATTCTCATTAAGCACCTTGTATTTCTCAAAAAACCTGTAAATTCGTTTACATATTATTTTTTCAATAATTTTTGATATAACTGATAGTATGGCTATGGGACGGTAATTGACTACTTTAGACTTATCGCCTTTTTTTTTGAAAATGGGTACAATTATAGCTTGTTTCAAGAATTGGGGAAAAATTCCTTGTTCATAGGATTGATTTACTAAGTACGTTAAAGTTAATACAAACTCATTCACACAATGAATTAGTAATGTGGCCGGTATGTCATCGTATCCGCATGTATTGTTCCTTTTTAGACCCAAAATAGCCTTCCTTACCTCTGCCTCAGTGACAACATCCAGATAAAACAAGTTCACAAGTGTGTTTAAATTCTGTACTTTAGGCTTATAAATGTTTTCGTTTTTGCCGATACTAATGTAATAATTATTAAATAGGTTCGCTATGGTCATTGAGCATGTAATTATTTTATTTTTATGATTTATAGTTATGTTGTTTTGTTTATTTCTCTTGAGGGGTTTTGTCCTTTCGTTGATTATGGCCCACATAGTCTTGTATTTATTTTTAGATGTTGTAAGTCTGTGTATAAAATATTTACGTTTTTCAGTTTGAATAATTCTTTTTAGTATTTTGCTGTATAATTTTTCGTATTGAATTTAGGAATCGTTTTTGAATTTAGTTGTTAGGTAACGCAATATTCTCTTGTGATAGCAGCATTTTTTTATACCCTTAGTGACCCACACTGTTTTAACTTTATTTTTTAAGATAAAATCTTTTCTTGGTATGTATTTGTCTAAAAGAACTCTAGTTATAGATTGAAACACTCCGTAGTTTTCGTCTAAATTATTGCATGTAGATAACTCCCGTCGCCAATTGACTGTACTTAATGCTCTTCTAAAATTGTCCATATTTTTCTTGCTGAATAATCGTTTATGTTTAATTTTCTTTACAGTAGTAGTAGTGTTTTCATTAACATTACTATCGAGTAACATCTGATCCATAAGGGTACTATGATCAGACAACTGGTTGTGATGAACTTCAGTAAGCATATTGACGTTCATTCCGACTATGAACTGGTCAACACAAAATGAACTGGTTGGTGTTATTCGTGTAGGAAAACTATTAATACAGCGCAAATCAAAGCTTTTGAGAAGGTTAAGAAATCTGCGTGACATATGTGTATTAACTGTAATGTCAATATTTAAATCACCCCCGATAATTATTTTTTATGAATATTATGTTTTGTGACGTATTCTAATAATGATTGCATTTGAGAGAAAAATGTTTCCACTTCCCTATCTCGTTCAGGATGGTAAACAGATATTATTAAGATGTTCATTTCAGGAATGTCTATCCCACAGAATTCTACAATAAACTCGACAGTGTATGATTGTATATCAAGCCTTTCTTTAGTTCTGATGGATTCCCGCGTAAAAATAGCGACACCGCCATGTTTATGGTTTTGTCTTATATACTTAGCTGCCAGATCGTAGCCCTCCAAAGAGTAAAAATGATAATTACTGGGCCACAACCAATGTTCACACATAACGATCACATCCATATTGATTTCAGATAATAAGATATTCAACTCATCTACTTTATTTGTAAGACATTGTATATTTTGGCACATTATAGTGAAATATTTAGGAACGAAAGGAACTACCATTTACGGACAGAACAGTTACAGAGTCTTCTACCAAAGTATTACTGTGTACTAATTCTTTAGTAATCTTTGACACTAATTTGCACAAATCATGAATAACAATTTTAAAACCCTGATTAATTAAATGACCATTGAAACGGAAAAATAATCGAAAGCAGCATTGAAGATTCCTATTTGAATCCAAAACGTAACAATATCGGTGAATCTGATTATCATTAATAAGTAAGTTATTAAAGACTTCAATTCTGGCATTATAGTATATGTTTGCAGTATAAAATAGTTTATAGGTTGGTAGGCACAAAACAATATTAGTATGTTTTACTAATAACAGAGCCTGTTTTACGAATCGTACTAAATCAGAATGATCATCAGGTACCCTAAAATCAGTCTCACCAACCATTATCACACAATAGTCAGAAAGTAATGGGGGTCGGAATTAAAGAATGACAAATCCCGTGTTTATATCATTACTAATGAAGAAGATTTAAACAAAATCGCTTAGCTTACTACCAGCTCTTTATTGTGTACCTAATTTTAAAACTAGTTTTCTTGCTTGCTTTAATGTTAATATTTAAATTGCTTTATATTTCAAAACATGTTTATGTAAGACGCATGACAATTTTGTGTAAAAGGTTTGTAATACCTGCTGTGCTTACTACGTCATTGCCTCGCTATTGTGCGTTATCGCACTGGTTGCTGATTCACAACCGGTTGGGCCACTGTGTGCGCCTTGATACCCGCCTTGTTTTTTATCTACTGCTTATTGAGTTGCAGTTCTACTTTGCTTGCGATATTGAATATTGTTTTGGTTGGTCTCAAACGCTTTCGTGTTTTTTTATCGGAGCTCGCCTGCACGCTGGAGTTATACATAATTTTATGTTCTATATTGTTCCACTATTAGCGTATCATAATTATTTATTTGTTGTTTATTGTTATTTCATATTATTAACAGTTTTATTAGAGGATTATTTTTCTAGGTTGTATAAAATGATAAAAAGCTATTAAACAGTACTGTACCGTTATTCGAAGCCTAATAAATACATGAGAGTAGCATACTTGATTTCCGGTCTTAGATCGTGTACAACGCCGCCATGATTGGCTAGCTTCGTCCAATCAGCGTTAACTTCTGGTTCGCGCCATATCCCACCCCTGTATTAGCAAGGCGTTTGTGGGTGCCTAATTTATTCGTCATTAGCATCGTGATTTCCGAACGGAAAAGACAAGAAAAACATTAGTATAAAGTGTATGAGTTCTGTGAAAAAGTGTATTCGTATATTCGAAAAAGCAAACATTAATTTAGTAAGTCGTGTGCAACGAAGGTAAAGTACAATATTTTTTCCTTTGCTCATATAAGATTTTATCTAAAAACCTTTTGTAAAGGTTTTGCGATTTTTTTAACGGTGTTACCGTTCGATTCCGATGAAAAATAGGAAGAAAACTTCCTTCAATTTTACATAATTAATGTGTTGTGCCGTAAAGGTAAAATATGTAATTTTTTCATGTAAAATGGCGTGTATTATAAGAAAAACATTCCTTTTACTTTCTGTTACTGATTTACGAACGTTTTTAAATATTTTCTATTTATATTTTAAATAATAATCGTGATTATATAAATATAATACCGACTTTTGATACCTACCTTTTACAATTATGTGTGCTTTATAACATCTTTATAATCTAAATATGGACTCAAATTGATATATATGTTTGAAGGTATGGAAAGTCAACCATCTACTAGTAAGGATTTGACAGGAATGGAGGAGGCGAGCAGGGAAAATACAGAACGGAAGGAGAGGAAAAGAAAAAGAGCAAGGTCATCCAGTTCGGATAGTTCCAGTAGCAGTTCTACGTCTTCGTCTTCTTCATTGGGCTGCCGCCGGAAGAAAAATCGTAAGCATAGCAGGCGAAACCGTAAGTTTGATTATTTAATCAATGAAATTCATAACCTAAAAAGTCAGTTGAATAAATCTTGTTTCGAATCACCTCTAACTGATAATAATGAATATGCTGAGTCTTGCATCGACTCTAATATAAGTGGCGATTTATTTGAGCAAACGGAAGCCTCTCAACCTGATGGGTCTACGGAGAGCAACACAGATTTTAATATTACTTTAGTAACAAAGCTTAAAGAACCGTCCGTACCAAAAGCTTCTAGGGAACACCTCGAGCAGCTAAAAGAGCTGCAACATTTCGACTCTCCGGAGTGGAACAACGTTCGTTACGCCGAACTTCAAAAACAGTATGCACACTCCCCCGGGTTTGTCGAACTCGACCCCAATGATGAGATTAAACAGTTTGATAGCTCTAAGTTTTGTATAAATATGGAAAAAGCTTTCGCAGCAGTTACTTCTTCGTTGCTCAAACAAAAGGACGTTTTGGAATCCGAAATTAGAAAATTTCTTATGTGGGCCTATTCAGAGAAGGATATTAGTTACAACGAGATTTACCTCAAGCTTAACGAAGTATTCACTAACAGTGATTATACAAAAGTATGCAGTGATTCACTGCAATTAGTGTGCGGGCACAGAGCTGAACTTGTGCAACATAGAAGGGAGACTATCCTGGCATCAGTAAAGGATGCTTATCATAAGAGTGCGTTACGTAAAATCCCACCATCCTGTTCCAATCTATTTGACAGTGAGAAGTTTAGCACCGCTATCGAAAAAGCGGGAGGAATGAAGAATGTTTTTTGGTCTAAACAAAAAGACCGCCATTTTGCAACTCAGCGAATCGAAACTACAGCCCCGGGCTCATCTCGACCTACAGCTAATCATCAGAGGGTTCATAAGCCACGGTCTCAACCCACACAAGGAAACCGATTAAGCAATAAGAACGGGCCTCGTGGACGTCACGGTAACTTTCAGACAACTCGAGGGGGGGGGATCACAGCGAGAAGGTCGAGCACGCTCTCCCTTATCCCAACGGGATAGGAGAGGTCAACCCAGGAAGAGGTACTGACTACGTTATGCCTTTTCGGGCCGGTCAGTTGCAGAAATACATCCACCACTGGGAGGATCTTGGGGCACCGCCCTACATCCTAAATATAATAACCGGTTATCATATTCCCTTCAAGGCAAAACCACCTTTATGCCTGCCAAAATACTGCAGCAGTCACACGGCTCAGTCGCCAGACATGGATCAAATTATTCAGAAATTACTCGATCAACACATAATCGTACCAACTGCAAACACGCCAAGTTTTGTCTCGACGTTATTCCTAAGACCCAAAAGCGACGGAAGTTTAAGACCGGTTTTCAATCTAAAACAACTGAACAAGTACGTTCGTGCAGACAAATTTCGTCTCGTGAACGTGCACAGAGTACCAGACTTCCTGCAAGATGGCGACTGGATGGCAAAAATAGATTTACATCAGGCGTATTTTCACGCGAGCGTCGCTCCCAGCCACAGAAGGTTTCTCCGCCTGATTTACAGAGGAAAACTGTACGAAATGACAGCCGTACCTTTTGGCCTCAGTTCCGCCCCGAAAACTTTCGCATCGCTATCAAATTGGATAGCTCAGCAACTCAGAGAAAGGGGGGTACGGCTTCTAGTCTACCTCGACGACTTTTATCTTGTAAATTAAGACATACAAACATTGCGCGAGCACGTGTCAATGGCAACAAGTCTCTTGAAGTACCTGGGTTGGATAATAAACGAAGAAAAATCCGTTTACGAACCACAAAATGTTCTAGAATTCCTCGGCATTATGTGGGATTCTATAAGGAACATAAAGTACTTACCGGACAGATTAGCAACAAAAATAGAAAGACAAGTTGCTGCAATTCTAAGCAAGAAAAAAGTAAGACTCCCAGAGCTGCAGAAAATTGTCGGAATATTGAACTTTGCCAGTTTTCCAGTCCCGAGAGGACGATTGAATTTTCGAGAGTTGCAGTTTCAAGTGAATTCACTTCTCAAGACGGGAACAGTAAAAGCAATTCAATTACCAAAGACTGCTCGAACAGAGTTGGAATGGTGGCTAAATCACTGCAGGAAATCTTCTCCGATCCACAGACCCCCTCCTTCACATTATCTAACGACGGATGCGAGCGATCTTGGTTGGGGAGCAAAATTGGACAACGAAAGCCTAACTGGCCAATGGGAGATTTCGGAACGCAAGTTACACTGCAACATCAAAGAGATGATCGCCATTCTAAGAGTTTTAGAAGATCGCTGTCTGCTCCTGAAATCAAAGGGACTACAGATACAGTGCGACAACAAGACCGTCGTAGCCTATCTTCGAAACGAAGGGGGAACGAAATCTCGGCTTCTTACGGAAGTAACCACTCGAATCTTCAAAATACTGGACAAATACAAAATTCACCTATCAATTTATTACATCCCGGGCATGTTCAACTCGGATGCAGATCACCTGTCTCGTTCGAAATCAACACCGGAGTGGCATCTCCTTCCGGAGGTAATGGAGGTTGTATTTGCAAAATGGGGCATACCAGTCATCGATCTTTTTGCTTCTGCAACTGCACATGTTGTAACAAACTACTGCACCTTAGATCAATCAGACAGACAAGCTGTTTTCCACGACGCGCTAGGAAGGAATTGGAATTACCCATTAGCCTGGGTATTCCCTCCACCACATCTGATACCCAAAGTTCTAGCGCATCTAAACAAAGCCCAAGGCACTTACCTCCTAGCGGTATCTCGGTGGGACAAAGTATACTGGAGGCCAGATCTCAAGCGCAGAGCGTTGTCAGCCCCCTTCACAGTACGCAACCTGCCCCAAGTACTGGTGGATACATCAACGGGCCGACCACTGCCAGAGATCGGAATGATGCAGATCGAAATTTGGCGATGTGGGGGTGGCATTCGATTTTAAGTGATTGGTCTGAAAATCAGAAACTATTACTTTCATCAAGCTGGCGTAAATCCACCTTATACACCTATAAACCTGCATGGAAAAGATGGATGTTTTGGGCTGAGCAAAACAATGTTAATGTGTGCCAACCATCAGGATCCCACTTAGCAAGATTTTTGGCCGACTTGCATCAGAAGGAAGGTTTAGCCTATAGCACTATATTAGTGCATAAATCCGCAATATCCACCTTTTGTGATCCCGACAACCACATCAAACTCAGCTCCCATACGCTGGTTAAACAAGTCCTCAAGGCCATCGAACTGGCCAAGCCAAAAATAGCTAAGGCCCCCATATGGGATATTGACATAGTAATACAACACATCGGTACGAAAGATCCTGGAACTTCAAACCTTTACGAAGTATCCAAAATAACAGCGACTATGCTGTTGTTGGCCTCGGGTAGACGGGTGCATGATTTAACTCTTCTGAGTGTATCCCCTGATCACTGTATTGTTACTGATACGGAAGTGACATTTTGGCCAAGTTTCGGTTTTAAAACTGATAACGCCAAGCACCAACAATCTGGTTGGAAGTTATTAAAAGTAAACAGGGGGGACAATAATTCGCTAAACATAGTTCACTGGATTAAACGCTTGTTAGAATTGTCCCATTCCAGACGGATAACAGCAAAATCGGAAAACTTGTTTATCACTTCGATTGGTGAACCTAAAGCAGCGTCGAAAACAGTGATAGGACGTTGGATTAGAAAATTATTACAAGAAGCCGGTGTAACTGCTACAGCGGGCAGCATGAGATCAGCTGTAGCTTCGAAGAGTTGGCTAGAAAATTGTCCCTTGGAAGATATCCTGTCAAGAGGGAACTGGAAATCTGAACACACCTTTAAAAAGTTCTACAGACGAGCAGTAAAATGTACTAACAATCCCAATAATAACTCTTCGTTGATTCGCTCTCAGTTTATGCCTATAGAATAATTGATTTGCACAATGTATTAGTGATTACCAATAGTAACATAATTAAAGAATAACAATAAATGATTAATTTCCATAGCCCATCATCATTTTATTTATATCCTGATCACATTAGCATCGGTTTACATAACTAGCACCACCAGGCGATTCCAAACAGATCTCTCATGTATTTATTAGGCTTCGAATAACGGTACAGTACTGTTTAATAGAAACGTTTTACCTGAAAATAAAACGGTTATTAAACATACTTACCTTATTCGAAGCCTAATATTTTTAAATTCTGCCTGGTGATATACATTCGAGATGTAATGACGAATAAATTAGGCACCCACAAACGCCTTGCTAATACAGGGGTGGGATATGGCGCGAACCGGAAGTTAACGCTGATTGGACGAAGCTAGCCAATCATGGCGGCGTTGTACACGATCTAAGACCGGAAATCAAGTATGCTACTCTCATGTATTTATTAGGCTTCGAATAAGGTAAGTATGTTTAATAACCGTTTTATTTTCAGGTAAAACGTTTCTATTATTATTATATATTTATTCTGCACTCCGCGACTCGTACAGAAGTATTATGTTGTTATTTTGATGTCGTTAATCTATTAGTCCACCGATTTTTTTTGAAAAAGTTTATTATTTTATTCTATTTCAAATACGTGTCCCCTGTAGCAACTGAGTACTTTATTGGTATGTGTGAAATAAGAAATAATAGTTATTATTATTATTATTATTATGCATACACACTGAATCTCATTAGTTTTATAAAACTATCTTTTGATTTTTTGGTGCGCTGTGTCTTTGCTGTGTTTATTTTATTTTTTACAAATGGCTAATACACAGAATATCTTCTACAATATTTATTACCAAAATGCGCAGGGACTACGCACTAAAACTTTGTTTTTACGTAATTTATGTACTTGTAACTACGATATTATTATAATTACTGAGACGTGGCTGGTAGATAGTATTAAAGATGCGGAACTTTTTGACAGTCGTTATATTGTTTGGCTTCGCGATCGTAACTGCGCCGCAACCGGTCAGGTTTATGGAGGTGGTGTACTGGTGGCGGTGCGCCGGGATCTCGCAGTCGTGCCGCAGCCAGCATTCCACTCGAGTGCTGAAGATTTGTGGCTGACGCTTGTGCTGAAGCAGCGCGGGACTAGCGTTCACTTAAATGTTCATATTTGCGTTGTTTATTTATGTAGGGAAAACTTGGGATTATCTTACTCACAACAACTTTTTAATTTCTTTAATAATTTAGGTGAAATCTTCATTCGACATCCAAATGACAAATATCTGATAGTGGGAGATTTCAACCTTAGTAGAATTGCTTGGACTCCAAGTCATGTTGATTGTAACTCCTCTGCTCCATCAAATTATTACTCTGATGATGAAAAATTCATGGTGGATGAGTTAAACACCCTTTGTCTTACCCAATTACAATGGAATAAAAAATACATATGGTAGAATTCTAGACTTGGTGCTATCCAATGATTATGTCCGGGACTGCAGTGAGGATCCCCTAGTGCCAATCGATTTGCATCATGGGACCTTGACTATTGACCTACAGTTCTCTAACACTATTCGTTTGGCTGATGCCCCGTATGTTAAGTATCTCTTTAATAAGGGTAATCATGAGGTAATTAATTCGGAGATTTTAAAAGTAGACTGGCAGTCTGAACTGTCGTCCAAATCTCTTGAGGGTGCGGTTGATTACTTTTACAACATATTTTTTAAGTTGAGGGATAAGTACATACCTAGTAAGAAAGTCACTGCTGGCCGTTATCCAAAGTGGTATTCTCCTACTTTGAGAAAGGCCATTAACCCATTAGTGCATAACGTTCGATAAATCGGACGCCAATAAAATTGTTATTTTAGGAGTTATATATATTTTACTAACCTTTTATTTTTTTTAAACAGTAGTGTAATATATATTTGAAGTGGTAATACTGTTGGTATGACATTCCGGCAACGCGCCTGCGCGTCAATTGTCAATTTGAAAAATGGCGGCACGCGGTCAAAATTTTTTGCGGCGAAAGTAAGATTATATTGTGTTATTGTTGTATTTTGTGATGTTTTATGGGTAAAAAACGGATATTTTGCTTGCTAAATCATTACACTATTTATTTTCAATATAATTTTTACGTGGCCCCTGTTATTTTGAAGGCTATGCTTGCTAATTATGTACTGTCCGATATATCGCACGCTATGCACGGCGGGTACTGCATGTGGTGTTTTCTCGAACTGTTACAGCTTGCAAGTTCATGAAATATTATCTGCTTTGGAGTGTGAGGAGTATGATAATTATACAGAAAATATAATTTACGTTGAGCCCCCTATTGAGCATACCGATCAGGTCACTGATGAAGACAGTGACAAGTCCGACGAGGAGCATGGTGCGAACCTAAATCACTTAGGACGAAGACTGCTGCAAACTAGCTAAGAACTGCAACGTTTTCGAGGTGATACAATTGTTTCTATTCCATCAACGTCTACAGCCTTTGGTTTAAATACGCAAAGATCGTCAAATGATAATTCTTTATCAAGTAGCGATAGTGAAGACGAGCAGCCCCTTTCTAATTTCATTTCCCACAAGTCATCAAGGTCTGCACCCCCAGCTAAAAAGAAAAAAATTTACACATTGGAAAAAAGAGGAACCCGCTTTTATTTGTACTGAATATCGTCCACAGCCACCATCAGATGAAAGTAAAGCATGTCAAAATCCACTAGAATACTTCAAATTATTTTTTCACAATGATCTTATCAAACATATAGTCAAACAAACAAACCTGTACGCTTTGCAAAAAAATAAATTTTTGATGGTAACGGAAGACGAGATCTACGTTATATTAGGAGCGATGCTATTGTCAGGCTACGTCAAGTTGCCAAAAAAACGATTGTATTTTTGCAAAGATAATGACGTGCCTACAATTCTACAGGATAGCATTAGATGCAATTGGTTCGAAATTATTCTTCAACACGTGCACTTGAACGACAACAGCGAGCTCGGTGAATCTACAGATAGATTGCATAAATTACGTCCTATTATTGAAAGTCTAGGTGAATCGTTCCAAAAACACTACGGAATGGATGAACAGTATAGCATAGATGAAAGCATGATCCCTTATTATGGGAAACACTACGCTAAACAGTTCATCCGTGGAAAGCCAATAAGATTTCGTTTCAAAAACTGGGCAATGTGTGCAAGTACCGGATATATGGTAGCTTTCAGCTTATACACGGGAAAGAGTACCGAAAAAAAAGATTTTGGACTAGGTGGCGATGTTGTTCTCCGACTTTAGATTGAGCAAACTTCCGCCTAATAGTGGCACAAAATTGTTTTTTGACAATTATTTTACATCTTTGAACCTAATGAGACACCTGAAGGAGATCGGCTATTATGCTACGGGAACCTTGAGAGCTAATCGCACTGAAAACTGTACTGTCAAAGACGTAAAACAACTCAAGAGGGAAGCGCGAGGTCATTACGATTACCGATTAGCTGATGATGTCTTCGTATGCCGGTGGAATGATAACAATGTTGTCACAGTAGCCACTAACTTTGAAAATCTTACAATTACATCTGCAACCCGCTGGTCTAACGAAAAAAAAGCTAAAGTGCAAGTCCCTCAGCCATCACTTTTTTCAAATTACAATAAGTATATGGGTGGAGTAGACAAATGCGACCAGGCCGTGGCAAACTTACGAACTCGGATGCGAATAAAGAAGTGGTGGTGGCCCATATTTGCATATTTAGTAGACGTGTCGGTAGTAAACGCCTGGTTACTTGCTCGGAAGAATGGCTGCACGAGAGACACCGAGTCCTTATTCGTTTTAAGACGGTTCATAACAAGAAGCTTGCTTTCCACACATGGCATACCGCCGCATCAAGGCCGCAAGCCAGCAAAACAAATATGTACAATGAGATACGACGGTAAAGGACATTGGCTGGTCCCAATAAATACTGAACGTCGCTGTGCAAATCAATGTGGTGGGAAAAGTAAATTCCAGTGTCAGAAATGTGATGTAGGCCTTCACCCGAAATGTCACATGCCATACCACGTCGTAAATTAAAATCTATTTATTTTCTGTTGCTACTTATAGTAAATTTATTCATGAAAGTCGTACTTTTATTTTCATATTTTTTTAACATCTACAGTGTCCGCCGTGCATAACGTCCGATTTATCAGACGGGCTATAAAATCTAAACTTTCATATTAATTAAATATTTTATATAATTTAATGGTCAAATACACTCGAAATGAAAATATATTACAGTGATCATAATGAAAAAGGCGTTAATAAACTTTATGCACTAATGGGTTAAAGAGAAATATAAATACCTGAAAAAGTTCAAGACATACGGGAACCTCGCTGACGAATTAACATTTAAATATCGGCTTCGGCTTAGAGATCGGTGTAGGGCAATGGAGAGGCAATGCTACTATGACTATATTAAGAAGTCTGTTGAGAGTTCTTTAAAGGATAACCCTAAACTATTTTGATCTTTTATTAAGTCTAAATCTGATACGAATGATATTCCTAGCAGTATGAGACATGGTGATGTTATTCTCAATACAGGTCATTCAATCAGTAATGCTTTTTCTAATTATTTTCATTCAAATTTTTTGGACTGTCCCACCATTCAATCGAATGTTTATTCTTCTGGTACTAACATCACCGTCACAAATATAACTAATATAGAAATCGATATTCAAAATGTGGCGAAGCTTCTTTCGACACTGGATCCATCCAAGTCAGCCGGTCCCGATTTATTACCAGCTCAGTTCCTTATATCTTGCGCTAAAACTATTGCAGTTCCATTAGCTATCCTTTTTGAAAGATCATTGGTTGAAGGTATTGTACCAAGGTTGTGGAAACGTGCTTTTATCACACCTGTCCACAAGAAAGGATCCAGGATTGACATAACCAATTACCGACCTATCTCTAAACTTTGTATAGTCTCAAAGGTTCTTGAAAAGATTGTGTATGAGTAGCTATACTCAGCACTTAACCATTCCTTTAGCCCCACTCAGCATGAATAGAATAAGAATAGAATAATTATTTATTTGCGTTTGAACAGGGTAATCAAAGTCATAAATAGTTACACATAACTATACTGTAGGTTTGACCTATTCAGCTATAGAACGTAGCATGCAAATTTACATCAGTTTTTTATCAAATTAATTAATACTATGTCACATGATTGAATAAAAATTACTTAACAGGTCACAAAATAAATAGTCAAAAAGTATAAAAATTCGATTGAAATCAGGTCATATTAAAATGTGAATCAAAAATATAATTAAATCAGTATATGTCACTCAAAATCTCATCCACAAAATTACTATTATTTATATATTAGCTATCATAATTCAAGAATTCCTGGACCGAGTAGAATTTACGTTCAATGAGCCATCTATGTAGTGTTATTTTAAATCTACTGAAAGGCAAATCTCTTATTGATTGTGGAATATTATTAAAAATTTGAATGCACCCAAATTTGGTCTTCCAAAAAATAAATAAATATGTTGTTGCCAGCCTTCAAAAAAAGAGCGTACTCCTTCCTTAAAGGCCGGCATCGCATTTGTGATACTCCTGGTGTTGCAAGTGTCCATGGGCGACGGTGATTACTTACCATCAGGTGAGCCGTCTGCTCGTATGCCCCCTATAACATAAAAAAAAAGACTTATATGATGAACAGTTAGATGTAAGTGTCAGAAGTATATTTTCCGAACTACCAGTGAGCAAATTCTGGGTGGATTTTAACTCGGGGACATCTTGATTAGATAAAACTAAATCCCTACAGGGCCATAACAGCGGTGAAGATTTCAACCGCGAAGGTCCATGTCACCAAAGCGAATGATTTGCCAGCTCGGAACAGGAACGCCGCGACTGCAACAGTCAGCTGGATTGTCGTAGGTACTCACGTGGTACCAATGGTCGGGTCCAACTAATTCAGTTGTTTGCACTACTCGGTTCGCTACGTACATTTTTATAAGATGTGGAGGTGTGTTTAACCATGACAAGGTTGTGCTACTGTCGGAATATGCTCTAATAGAATTTATATTAATTTTATTTTTTAATAGGTTATACATGTGATTTAATACTTTGGCTAGAAGGAGAGCAGCACATAACTCGAGCCTATTAACTGCAGTCGGTTTTAAAGGGGCTACTCTCGACTTACCTATGAGCAAATTTGTTGTAGTAACGTTTTCATTTACTACACAAAGATACACACAACAACCAAAACCTTTCAATGAACCATCACAGAATCCTACTAGATCTACTTCAATAGGATTCGGAGGTATGATTAAAAGTCGTAACTTTATTTTTTGCAAGTCACATAAATTCGCGGCTATTATGTGCCACTGTTTGGCCAAATGACTGGGTATGGGCGCATCCCAAGCTAGATTCATGCGCCACATTTCCTGAAGCAAGCAATTGGCAGCAAAGACAACCGGACTTATCCAACCCACTGGATCGAAAATACGCGCTATAGTAGAAAGTATAGACCTTTTAGTAAAATTTACATTAAATTTATCTGAAAATTTGTAAAAGAAACTATCTTCATTGGGATCCCATTGTATTCCTAATATTTTAACAAACTCTTGACCGGTTTCATCGAAAGATTTTGCAGTTTGACAATGATCTAATGGGATTTCTGATAGAAAATTAGGACTGTTAGTGCTCCACTTTCGTAATTCAAATTTACCCTTACTTAGTAACGAAATAAGATCCGTTTTTAACCTGTTAGCTTCATCTAAAGACGAACAGCCGCTTATTACGTCATCGACAAATGTCTCTTAACACAGAACTTGAGCAGCACGACTCATGTATTCGCTACCATGATCCGCTGCAAGTTGACGAAGTGTTCGGATTGCTAGGAAAGGTGAACCACTAACTCCATACGTTAACTAAATAAAATATATTATAAATATCATAAATTTTAGAATTTATAGAATAATTTATTGTAGAAATGAATATTTTTCCTTAAATTGATTATTATTGCGAGTGAGGTGATAAAAAATAGTCCGGTTTGTCACAAATTATCACAGCTTCGTTTTCATTTAAATTATTAATTATCAGTTGATACTGTTTTTGTTGGTGTCTCATTACGTACATATGTTTCTTGAATGCATTAATTTCGTCGTCAAAAGCATGTTTTAGTGTACTAATTGGAGTATTTTTTTGAGATTTGACTGTTTTTTTTTGTCTTGACTGTTTTATTATTTTTCGTATATTCATGATCAACTCGTTCCCACTGCCACCAAGTAATTCTTACATCTAACTGGTCTTCTTGCGGTTTTGAGCTCTTTGTTTCCTCTTCTCTTCCCGCCAAATTTTACGATGCTCATTTTTTTCTTGTTCAGTCATCTGTGAAACTAGTTTTTTCTTCGATTTGATTCGCTCCAAAATTTCTTTCTGATTTCTTCCGCTTTT